CTTGTTAGAAAGAGAGAGAAGCCAGCTGAAAAGCGAAGGTTATCAAAACACATTGCTTAGCAACGGTGACGCAGAAGGTCGTGCAATCTGCAACGTTGTTAATATGTGCAGGAGAAGTTCCTATCGCTCAGTTAAAGCGTAACAAATAAAGTACGGATAATGCACTAATCAAAAGAAAAATATTAGGCCATATCAAGGTCAAATCAAGACATAGTCAACAACTTATTCTAGCAAGAATATTCTACCGCATAGGTGTAAGGTTTGTGGGGACTACCCAAATATGATCTTGACCATGACCTTCAAGAGTCTACAAGTTTTGTTTGAAAATTTTTTTTGTAGGATGCGAGTTTTCAAAATATTTAGGTGAGAAGGTTGAAATGGGCCACCCTGTATGTTGGTGTATCATAAGTGCTCGCTAGTTGCAAGCTGACATTTCGTCGTTTTTCTTTTACGTTTTTTAGGTTTTTCACATAATAGCCGCGCAGGAGAGAGTTACCGGTCTGAATGTTGTTTGATTTACGTGAATAGCTGTCAGTTAAGTTACAGGTCAAATCTCTTCATGAGCAAAATTCTGGAAACAAGATGGTAAACTTTCCTAAGGCAACACACGTATTCGTATGAAGAAGGGCGTGGCTCTTGAAAAGGTAGTGTGCGTACACCTTTTGCGTATGTATACACATACGCCGTTCAAAAATGATGGGAAAATAATTATCACGTACATCGCAAAATCCTGACTCCCAAGATTCTTCATATCTCTAACGTTTCCCCGTGCTTAACCAAAATTTCTACTTGCGACTCTACTGAACCGTCAAAAGTAGAGTTGTTTACGTTTTAGATTCATGATGAAAGCAACAAAGAGATGCAGACATTTCTTACGCAATTGCTAAACGATTAGTTCGACTTGATTCTCGAGACCTTTGGCGTCATCCACACTCCATGAGCTTACCTTCATGTTTCCAGTCTTTTTTTTTTCATTATGCAGGCATAATCTAGGCATTGTTGCGATTTATACCTCATATGATGTCCGGGTGGGTAATTCTGATCATAACATGCTGTATGACATTTTAGTAGTACCAATTCAATATAACTATAATGTAAAATGAACGATTCCTTGATAAAAAGATAAACCTGACCATAAAGTGTTAAAAGAAAATTATTTATTATCATATTTTGGAAGATCAACAAAAATAGTCTAATGTTTTTGCTCCTGTAAAGAAATATGAACAGTTGAAGTAAATCACTTGAGACAAATTCAAATCATTTCATCCAAGTAATGCGCAGCCCTATCGTCATTTTGAAATTATATGTAGGTGGTCATTTTTGAGGTCATGTAGTGTAGTACGCATAGACCACCGCACAATGGCTTACACAAAGCTCGGCACCAGTCTTGGATGTATATAGCATTTAAATGCCTGCGGCGACATACGGTGAAATTTTTTTAGTTTTGTAGTTTTACGGGGCGATTTTAATCGTACGTAAGCCATTTTTTCGAAAACACGTTCTACCCTCGTGTGTGGCAGGGAATTCAATTTGTATTCCAAACGGACATTGCTGCGTTTCTTCGATGTTGCTGCACCGGTACTTTTTACCCTTTTTAATTGTTCTCCGACGCCAGTCATAGACCTACCTCTCTCGGCGTTTATTATAAAATGAAATCAGTTTAGATTTAAAGACTACATACACACTATATGTGTGGCCGCTTATAGTGTACATTTCATCTGTAATGTAGACACATTCTGTTAACCAATATGCTTAAACCAGTTTGGGAAATCATAGTTTTTCTGGAGGTAGACGAGAATATTGCAATAATCACTTTTGACCGTCTACAATTTTAAGCTTTCTCTTAGACATTTCTTGATTTTCACCGATTATGCGCTTTCTTCTTTGATCAAACCGTATACTTGCAGAGTTCTTTCTGAACATTATCATACGTTCAAGTGGTGATTTCTTGATATTCTTAAGGTTTCTTTGTCTTTCGATGATGTTCGAGAAACTGTCTGGTTACAGGGAGTAAAATTTTTGAAAATGTAGTATTCAAGTCTACAAAAATTGCTCAAAATTCCTCTTTCCTCCAGCTAAAATACAAGATCCCAATTTTCTCTTCATAAATCCTTCACCAGTATCACTTATTATCGAGTTACGACCAATAACTATCTGACTTCTAAAATCATTAACATTCCCACTGAAGCAGCGTAAAGAGATAACTTCAGTGACACCAAACGAGTTTGAGTTAGGGGTCCATGAGGTCATTGACCTAACCAATGATGTCCGTAAGTTTTAAAGTCACAAGCAACCTGTCTTAAATCATAAAAAATAATTTTCTAGATCACTTGTGAAGTTCCCGAGCTCTAGATAACATCATCAAGGTACCCCTCCAATCAACTCTCTTCATGTTCTTTGCTCTGTCCCTTCCTTCCTTCCTTCTTTTTCCTTTTCTCAATGACTTTATCGGATATTCGAGCAACAATACCTGACATATCTACTAACCTACAAGACTTCAACCAAGAGCAAAAGCCCTGTACTTTCGAAACGATGGAGGTTTTTGAAAGCCACCAAGAATAAAATTGTTTTAAAAACTTAAATTATTTGGAACGGTTCGGAACACCTGTTATACCAGTGATCTTCAGCTGTTGAGCCAGGCAGTGGATCGTTTTTTTTGTGGTACTATTAAACTTTTCCAGACTATAAATAGCTAGATATCTATAAACCTTGGCCGCATTTTTATCTTCCTCGCGGTTGCTCACCTTAAAGGAAACAATGCAATAATTACATGACGGTTTGATGTGAATTGTGGTGGTCAAGTTCAAAGGGAATTTGAAATTCGAAACAGTCGCTCGAATTGTTTTGGCGTCGCAACATTGACATTGATCGATTACCGGGAAGAAACGAGAGTATTTACAGCACGAACGTTTTTTACAAGGATGTAGAAAAAAGCACCAGTTGGATTTTCGAGGACACCTGAGAGATATGACCTCATTTTACGCGGATGTATCTACAGAGGTGAAATATGCAGGATGTTTCCTGAACATAGGGCAAAAGTGACAAAGCGTATCTTTTGAAATATACAGGTTGAAGAAATAAATAACATGTTTTGTTACTATCATTTTAGATATGAAGCTTTTTAATCCTCAAAGACTGTTCAAAATAGTAAAACATACACGACTCCGGTTATTCCCTGTAGGACCATCACAGTTATTTGCTTACACAGTTTCAGTGACAATCAGAAACCATGGTACATTTTTAAGGGTTTGTCGGTTTTCGAGAAGAAGATTTTTTATGCTGTATTTTATCTGGAGGTACTCATTTTGAACGGTCCTTGTACATTATGAAGCCTCATATGTGACTTTTGTTCTTATATTAGATATCGAAACATTTTGGTTACTTTGCATCTTTTCGAAAATAGTTAAAAGACAAAATAGTCTTGGCGTAGTTTAAAGAATCATTTCTTAAATTTTTGCCCCATGTTTTTTTGGAAATACGAGGTGGTTAAGAATAAATGTGAATCTTAAGGCGGATGTTTTCCGATTAATAAATTAACGCCTTGAACTTATCTTGTGCATGTCTTGATTATCCATCTTCATACTGTTGCAGGGAAATAAAACAAACCACATGTAGCAAACGTGTGCGACAAATGTCCAAAAACTTCATCTTATGTTTAGAGTACTACCAAATCCTGTCATGGACCATCATCTTTGGACAAGCATTTCCGAGACTACTCGTATATGTACATTTCATAATTATGGAGGAAGCTTTTTACCAGTATCTTGCGATTCTCATCAATGTTTAGTATGATGAATTTATCAATGAATAAAAGTTAATAACACGAAGTCGACAATCATCGATTATGAAGGTAATGCCATATAGTGAATAAAAACTTTAATATCCATTTTGGAGCACTACAACAAATGCAATTTGTTTTTATAATATGTTATTATTGTTAGAAGTGACTTCTCTATTGTTTTTGGGTCCAGTAATGTTGAAAACGGATGTCTATGACAGGGTACTGCCCAGTCGAGTCATATATGATAAACAGGTTTATCGCGGAAGAAATATACTTGTTTGACAAAAGTAAGATTATAACTGATTTCGCCAAGCTTATCTCTCCTTCTCTCGATTAATAATTTAGCCCAGGTTTATCTTTTTTATTACGAAATCGTTCATTTTATACTATAGATAATATTAATTTAGTGCTACTGAATACAAAATTACCCTTCAAATGTCATACAGTTTAATGTTGCCTGCCTAATGGAGTTACACGACAAAGAAAAACAGACTTGATTAAGTTGATTAAGGTATCATCACCAAGAAATGCTAGGCCGGTCCTGCCATTTCCACTCGCTATGATGATGTATAACACTCGTTGTAAAATACTGTATATGTATGGTTGCTATTTTGGAGGATATACACTTTCCAGGACACTAGCGAGCATGATGATATACTAATATATGGCAAAAATGGAGGTGCTTACTATTTTTGAACTATACTTATATTACACTGAGATAAAAATGAATTCAACAGAACAACCTTTCTTGTCCCTGATACAGAGTTCCACATTTCAAGAAGTACATTCCCATAAAGTGCCACTAGCTATAACTGCAATAACCTATTTTGTTCGCTATCATTTCATTTCTGATAAGATGCTTAAATCCTAGGCAAGCTTCGTGGTAATGTTAGAATATCTTCAAGAGCCAAGTAAATTGACTGTGAATTGTTGATAATCTCAGAAGACCACTAGGGCGCAAAGGGTTAAGAATACGTTTGCAACTATATTCATTTGTAGTCCGAAGCATTATTTTTGGCCTCATATTTCAGTTTGAAATGAGGACGTATCGTAATTTTATAACATTAGAATAATTAATAAACACATCCAAATCATATCAGACTTACCTCTTCGTAATCTAACTTGGCAGTCAGTGTAAAAACTCCAGTTTGAGGATTCAGCGAAAATACATCATTCGCCCAGTCACTGATTACTGAATATGTCAACTGAGCGTTGATTCCTAGATCTGGATCCACAGCCTGCACTTTTCCCACACGGTGACCGCGTACAGCATTTTCGGGGATGTCAAAAGAGTAGGCTGGTTCCAGAAAGGCTGGTGGATTGTCATTGGTGTCCAGGACCTAAAACAGATAATGGTTTTTAGTATAATGTTGAAGAAGTGCAATGTTTTTCTTATTATTTCAAAAATGTAGAGCGTAACAACGTATGCCCATAAGAATTCACTGCGAAAGGCAAAGAACGGTGAAGCGTAATTTTGAGTAATCAAAAAGTTCTCTAAAAAGCCGTCAGTGATTGGCAGTTACTGTAATCGCTTACAGCTTGAATATTACCCAGTTGTCAAAGGAAATCAAAGATAAGATACTATGTTTTTTGGATGTTACGACGAAAAGACATGTCACAATTATTCGTCTGTCCGCTAATCTTCGGTCCATATATAACTTGGGATGTACCTACTTGTTGAATTGTGTTGAATTTTTGACACGAGGTTACTTCTATGTCAAGCCGAGAAAGCTCTTTAGTTGTTTAAAACTGATCCAGTAACACCGGTACCTACGGGTGAAACATGAAATAAACAAAAATCACTCGAACTCTCTTTGACATTTCAGAGGCTTCTGGTGATTATGGAATTTTTTTCAAATAAAAAAATGGGGATGGGACTTGCAGTGGGTGAGGTAGGGTGTATCTCAACTTTTGTCATTATGTGATGCTGCACTCGGTAATTTCACCCATAGATTTTACGGTATACTTGCTTTTAAGAATAATAGTAATATTTTCGATGCACGTGTCGAAATCGATCGAGCGCAACGAATAGAAGTTGAACCTGTCGCGAGCTAGCGGCCTCCGCTGGATGTCTACTAATCGCAGCTGTGATCGCAACGTTGTCTCGTGATCGGTAGGGTATTTGATACATTTCTACATCGCAACGTTGTCATATGGGTGGAGACTGGAGGCCAGTTGCATAGGCCTATTTGATTGTCTTGATCCATTTAGCTTCTTCTCAAAGGACCAGCGTGTGAAATTACATGTGCCATTGATTCGCATCTAGGGCATTACTAACCATATATACCAGTATATAAAAAACGAAGTCATGCGGTCCAAGTCTTGCTCGTTCGACTGTCATATTTAAAAATAGCTGCGAAATTATAAAACGGTTATCCAGCATATCTTCGTAACCAGTGGATCAAATTTCATTCCTTAAAGCTCATTTTACTCCTTTTTTATAGTAATTTATATAGTAAAATGGACCATATTTGGTTAGAGCTAAAACCAATTTCCGAACAGTTGAAGGTATTGGTTATACTAATACTGAAGGCAGCACTTGCTAATATTGTAACATCTGAAACTTATCCTGTGGTTGACATGTTATTTATCCCTCTTTCTGAAATATTGTCAATGTACTGAACAAAATCACGTTTGTGATTGAAGTCTTTACTACAGTAAAGAACCTGTCAATACATATAGTTTTATTGGGCAGTCAAGCATGGGGGATTGTTGTTAATATTATAACAAAATCGAGCTTAACATTCCAAAGATTGAACGGCTGTAACACCAGGCACTACAATATGCTTATGTGTACAGTGGTTAGTACTTCGAATTTGATTGCAGGAGAAGGCAAATGCATACAGGAGTATTTGAAAAAAGAGAGAGATTGATTACACGATCTGCCATCGCAGTCATAAGGCCATCATATACAGGGTGATTCACAAGTCGTGACCAAAAATGAAACATCCTACACAGGACAGCATTTTGAGGGGGGTCTTCTATGTAACATTTTTTCTCGAGGGCTTCTGTAAAAGGATACGGGGTGTGAAGTTTTCAAATATATTTTTTTATTATCTTTATTTATCCAAGTATTGTCCACATTTGAAAAGTACTTAATTATAATTAACGTACATCAATGGCGGAGATACAGGGGATTAGTTGCATACTTTTCCAAATAAAAATAGTACGCCACTGTGTTTTTTCGAAACGCGCAATTTTTCGTATTCTCTCTTCAATCTGCTACAAATAATTACTCTTGTTTTTTTTCTGGAGTGCATTATTTTCGTAAAAATAAAAATAAAAACAAATTAGTAAAAACCTTTGAGGTAGGTGGCGTCTGTCAGAAAATCTACGTCGATACTCCCGTGAGCCGCTAAAGCATTTCCATTACAAAACCCGTGCACAAATAATATCGGCGTACTTATCATTGCTAAATTCCATTTCACAACACTCAAAAAAGGAAAAAAGAAACTCTTGACTTGACTTTTCCAAACAAACAAAAATGGTAGTAGTAAGGACAACAACACATAATCTTGACAAACTATCTCCCAAGAAACGACAAGTTGGTATCAAGGTCTCCTACTTTATTGGAAACTATTTATATCTCGGCTTCTTTATTTTCATTTTTACGAAAACAGTGCACTCTATGAAAAAACACAAGAGTAAACATTTGTATCAAATTGAAGGTAAAATCCGAAAAATAAAGCGTAAAAAATATTATTTTTATATGGAAAAATAATGCCACTAATTCCCTGCATCTCCGGGGATGGGGCACGTTAATTTTAAGTAAAGACTTTTGAATGTGGACAATACATGGGTAAAGCCACATACCAAATTTTAGTTCATTCCAGTTTGACGGTTTAGAAGATACTAAAAAATGTTTTTTTAACAACCCCGTATCTTTTTAATGCAGCCCTCGAGGAAAAATGTTACACAGAAGACCTCCTTAAAATGCGGTTCTGTGAATGATGTTTCATTTTTGGTCACGACTTGTGTATCACCCTGTATACAATAATATGTGCTTGGGCGTATGTTTGTTACTAACGTCATTATCTTACTTATAACCATGACTCGGATTGCTTGATCACTTTTATCAAACACTCATATATGAGTTTTATCAACTGCCGCCAGTGGAGGATACTGGGGTATCCAAATTAAGAAATGTATGGCCATCTTTCAGGCCAAAGTCCTGAGCCCCCACCCCTCTACCCAAGCCCCCAAAAATTTTCAAATTCACCAGATGGCCCCCTACACCAAAATGTTTTCTAGATCCGCCCATAACTCCCGTAATAAAATTCAGAGCATATACACACGTAGCCAGTGGCGAAGCGTACATGTAACCATTGATACCATTGGTAACAGTTAAAAATCTTAAAAACAAATAATATTTTATGACTAAGTACTGTGAAATAAGTTCATTTATTTGTTTACCAACAGCGATATGTAATAGTAATTCAGTAAATAGCAAATTAGCTCCACGAAAATAATGCGCCCTATAGTGTCTAGGTTTTGTGAACACGATGGAGCTGACTCGCCTCGACTTGGTTGTCGGTTGTTACCATTTTCATTTATGGATACACTTGGTAGTCCGTCGGGGACGGTCGGAGCCGGCTCGTGTCTTATCGCGGTTGCCCGAGTGCGTGCGGCGCTGCGACTAGTATGTGGGCTTGTTACCATTTTTTGATTTGGTTACTCATTTCTCACTCATTGGTAGCCGTTTTGGTTACCGGCTGTAGTATGCGACCAATTAAATATGGATGAGTGTCCCTGCGTAATCGATCAACTACTTGAAAAGTCATTCTCCTTGTATAATTTTTAAGAAAAAAGGAGATCATTGGAAATGGAATACCAACGCCTAGTTTAGATGATTTTAAAAAGGAATAAAAAAACGTAGTTTCATATTTTAAATTAAGTTGGTATATGGAAACTCTTGGTTAAGTGGTTGCATAAAAACAAATTGTATTGTTGGCGATGTCTTCTGTTTTATACAGAAAAAAATGGGTGGACCAGCAGCGGAGTCAAGGATTTAAATAGTTTTAGGGCTATAAAGAGGAGACATGTAATTTCTCCGTTACATGTGAGATGTGTAGCCAATTTAACTCAGTTTGGCAAAACAAGAATCGAAAGTTGTTTCAACCAAGCTCTTAGGCAGCACACTTCTAGATACCGTATGGTTGTTGGCAAAACAGGAATTACCGTTCATTTTGAACGGAATGACTCTGACAGTAGAGGAAATTACAGGGAATTGTTAACATTCATTGTCAAAAAAGATCCAAATTTTTCCGAACACCTAGAAAGGTCGACTGTTTTTTCGGAAGCCTTGGATTAGCACAAGACGATGAGGTATATCGAGTGCCACAGACGCTCAGTCCAGGAATGTTACCTTAATTTAAAATAGTTT